ACATCCACGGCTCTCCCTTTGTCTACCCAGCCAGTCATGGATTCTTACCGTCATTGTCAATGAGAAAGGGAATATTGGGAGTCAGGATCTCATAGTAGCAGATCTGGCTGTACTGTGGCGAGCAGTCTCCATCAATGGCCTCCACACGCAAGATGCGGTCATACAGCTTTCCCTCAGTCACTGCCACACGATACAACTTTTCCACAAAGACGGGAGCAAACTCATTCACATCGTTTACTCGAACGTGCACTGTAGCCCTGACACAGAGAGACATCAGTAAGAACTGATTGGCTGATTAGGAGCCGTACACCACCTGAATTTCAGTGTAAATCACCTCCCTAAAGTGCACCGGTCTGATTTGCAGCCATCAAAAGCAAGGACAAGGAAAGAGACCTTGGTTTCAGCACAGCAATGTTGGCTCACAGGAGCTTGGACAATGCTTTCCCAGCCCAGAGAAAGAGTAAAAGGAATGATAACGTAATCTGGACCTCCTCCCTGCAGCAACATAAAACACCACCCTTAGACACAACAATCAAGCAGCCCCCATTTCTAGTGTATTCACTCACGTGACTTGGTCAGTGAACATTTCTCTTTCGGTCTTACTAACACCTTGGGTTACAGTATCAAGGCTAGAGAAAAATACTTCTGGCTAAAGGAACCATTCCCACAGCAATTCTCACTGGCTTTTCTGTGGCAGATCGCATTTTGTAATGTGCAGCAATGACTTCATGGACTTACTTGTGTGATTTCTTGGTATTTGCTCCATCAGGTCCCTCTCCACAGTCATAAGCCTGGATGGTGAAGGTGTGCTCCTTGTGTGCTTCACAATCCACTGGTTCCTTGGCCCGGATCAGCCCCTCACCTGTAGCTTTGTCCAGGATCACAGCTTCAAAAGGTACCCCTGCCCCATGGATCCTGAAGCCACAGATTTCACCTGGTACCCATGGACGCAGAGAGGAAGGGGAGAAAGAACAGGACTGAGGAGAGCGCATTATGCCCCCTTGACTTCCCCCTCCCATATTTTCTTCCCTGCTAACTTACACTCTCCTTTCTCCCCCACTATGACCTCTCATTTCGAGCAATTTTTGGTTCCGTAGGAGTTCCTCTTACAGCCATTAACGGTGTAGATTGCCCTCTACTGGAGATTACTCCCACGGCCAGGAGTCTTGACCAGCATCAAGAAAGATGGTTGCAAAGCTCAAGCTAGATTTATCAGTGCTACACTGGCACAGTGCTGAGGGAGCACCTTATTTCTCCTCTGCGTCCCTCAGGGAGGCAGAACAGGCCATATATTGCAGAGAGACAGCCAAAGCGTGAAGATCCATGATGTCTCATCCACCCACGCATGCAGGATGTGCGCAGTACCGCAGGGAACTGCAGATAGGGTCACCTAAATCCTAAAGTTCCGCTCACAGGGGCCACTTTTCCTCTTCCAAAGCTGAGGGAGGATGTGTGAGGAACCTCCAGGCATGGCCTAAACAAGCACCAGGAAGACAGCCCTCCTGAAACCTCGTCTGCAGCTCCAGGGATTTGCGCTTTCTGCAAGCGGAGGTAGCGCTGCCAACGAAGTGTGCCCTACCAGCTCTCTCCAGTGCTCGCAGACACAGAGCTGTGCATGTGATCTTTGGAAATAGCAGAACTGCGTCAAAAAGTAGCTGGCTCCACCCTCAATTCCGCTCCCTAAGGGAAACAGCTCACAGCATCCTAAACCAAGCTGTGCCCAGATTGCCTCCAGCCTTCACTGGGGACCTCCCCCGGAGGAAGGTTTGGAGGTGACCGTTTCCTGGAGAGAGCTAGAACCCAGCAGAGGGATGGACGTTGCCCTGTCTCAGCCTCTTGGGAGGTCTCTCCCTGCCTCCCACCCTTCCCAGAGCTGCTTGCTGCCCACCTACCTGCATAGCGCAGTGGAGCATCTTTGTCCAGTGCGAACAGCGGTGGGTTGAGCAGGACCGTGTTGTCATTCTCCATGACGATGCCCTGATACTCCGCTTCAATCCAGGGTTTGTGCTTGTTGGCTGAGGTGGATTTGGGGTAAGGGATGGAGCATAGGAATGTATTAGCTGCCGATGACAGATTCAGTATGAAAAGAGCAAAATATCATCCAGTGACAGGTAACAACCACCCCTTCCCACCTTCTTCTCTGGAAACAAAGAAGTCTAAAATAGGCTGGGAGGAAGAAGTTATCTTTCTTTAGCTGCACCCTACATGGCTCTTGGGAGACCTTGTCAGAAGCCGTGTGTTCCTTCTGGCCTCCTCATTAATATCTTAGGAATATGTGGAGAGGCATCCAGGTGCCCAGGAAAGCTGGAGTGGTTAAAAAAAACTAATAAGAGGCAGAAGTAGTTTGATTCTGGAGATGGATTCCAAATGCTAAATCCTTCCTCACTGAAGGCGAAACTAAAGGATCCAAGATACATCTTCCCTTGGGGTGTTCCCAGGGGACAAGACTCGCGTGCAGCCATTACCAGCGTACACCCCTCATCCTCTGGACTAAGGCCCAGGGTCTACACACACATGTACCCAGGTACGCTTTCAGTCAGTCACCCTACGTGGACAACAGCCTACTCCGAGAGTCCCTGGCTCCTTCCTTCCCTGCTCCATGGTGAGCACCATATTCCCTTGGCCCCTCCTTGCTAATCCCGATGGCTGGAGCCCAGCCAGGCTTGGCATGGAGGCAGCAGCCAGCAGGAGGCTCTGAAAAATGTCACAGGCCCAGAAATAGCAAATTACTTTTTATTACACAGGCTCCGGGGCAGGGAAAGGGAGAAATAAGGGGGTGGGGGGGAGGGAAGGGGAGTGGAGAGGAGGGGAGAGAGAAGAAAAATCGTTACAAATTAAAAACCCCTCCCCCATGCCCACTCCCTGCCAAATGGGCCTCGGAGATTATATTACATGGCCTAGTTACAACCCCCATTCCCAGAGAATCCCCCACTCTCCCACCCCCTGGAGACCACGGTTCATCACAACCGAGCAACGCTTTGAGCACAGCGTGGCTCAGAGGATACGGAGCCTTCCCCCTCAAGGGCACGACTTCCAACGTGTGAATTCATCCTCTGTAGCACGGCATCCTCTGAAGCCGTGCCGGTGTGGCGTGGTGCGTTGCCTCGAAAGGGACGGTATCCCTTACGGCCAAGCATGCTGCAAACCGGGGCCAGGGCACGGTGCCGGAGCCGGGCAGCGGGCCGGCGGACAGGGCGACGGGTCAGGCTGGGGATGCAGCCGTAGGGCAGAGCGGGCAGACCCGGCCTGGCGTCGCAGTGAAGAGCATGGGTTGGCATTTCTCCCTCTCCATATTGATTAAGATTATAAAGCACCACGTAGGAAACCCAGAAAAACATCCACCCTGCTCGGTATGCAGGTGGAATCCTTCCCGTCTGCCAGTGCCCTCTGTGGCCCCCACCAGATTCCACTCTGTGGCGGCTCCGGTCCGCGCGGCCACGCCACCGAGGTGGGAACCTGTAGCTGCAAGAGCCGAATGTGCCCTGTTGCTGGGGTAACAAGCCGGTGGCAGAGAGATAAATCCTTTGCTGCATCCACCTGCAACTTGGGAATCACCGATCTGATTGCTCAGGAAACAAGATCCTGGAGCTTAGGAAAACATTTCGGGAATATTTTTAGGATACAGACTCCTACTAGCTTCAGGAAAGCTCCTGTAAACCTAAAAATGATTTGCCGGAGGGTGGGCAGGTGTTTCAGAGCGTAAATTTACCACGGAGGGAGAAACCCCAGAGCGTCAGGGGCCTTGCCTCGCCACCGGGCCCCCGGGCACCCGAGCAGCCCAGATAAACGCCCCTGCCCCTGCCAACGCCAGCGTGTGCCCAGAGCTCCGCGTTGCAGCGGCCCCGCAGCCCTGACCTCCCCCAAAGCACGGAAGGCGCCCCGAGAGGTC